GCCATCTTGCTCGCGTGTACTCTTGGTCACAAGCACCAGGATCGAAGCTTCACCTTAAGCTTAGATCGAGTCTCCAACCTGAGAAGCTCTGATACCAATTCAAATCTCTAGAAACACAAAGGATTATAAGAACAACTTTTCTTATTAGCTTTAGAAACTACTCAAAACTAAAGCTCACAATATGTTTCTCTTAGATCATATGGAACACCTCTCCATAAGACCTATATTTATAGTTGAGACAATTACCTTTAACATGTGGGATATGGAAAACACAAACCTAATCTAATAGAAAACTTCCTTTTCCTATTTCTAGATTTCCTTATTGTGTTTATCCTTAACATATTAAACATCCAATAATATGTTAAGTTTCCACAAGCTTGGAATTACCCAACATCCGGATGAGGTGGTAAACTTGTAAGTGTATGCTCCTGTAGCTTTTTCTATCTTAAACGCGCTATTTGGGCTCTTCCGTTCACCACCGATGATAAGGTCATGCTCATTGGGCGCGGATGGGCGAACATCGACTGCCCATAACTTGGAAAACTCGTCGCAGTAAGGCCATAACTCGGACCTGAACTCGATGTTTATATCTGAAGATGTGTCAATGGTGTCTCGGCCAATAATGTATGGATATCCAAAGCTAACCTGCAGAGCCCTGTGGCGTAAATGGGCGATGCCAAGTGGACAACTCGGAGCTAATCTAATGGGGCCTGGAGCAAGACCACCGCCGAGGTTACTCTCGGTCGACGTAACCGTCCGTATGAAGTATTTTTCACCGACCACAACTGGATTTCCGTTGGAGTCTTTCACCTCTTCTGCTTTGCCGTGGGTGCAGACAGCTGCAGCCAACAGGAATGCAATGAGAAAAGAGGTCATTGAAGGTTTCTTCATTTTGATTGTTTTATGTGTACTTTATTAGACTTTGAGTGAGTTGAGTTGTACTTGTGGAGATCAAACACATTGTACCTTTATTTATAGGAAGCTTCTGCGGTTAACGTGGTGTGACTGTTTTTCGGTTTTTTTTTATTTCTTTATTAAAAAAAAATCCTTTCTTTGGGAATTTTTTTTTATTTCTTTATTAAAAAAAATCCTTTCTTTCGTTTTATTTATTTATTTCTTTATTAAAAAAAATCCTTTCTTTGGGAATTAAAACCTAAAGGTATCTATCAGCTTTAAATACTTTCTGTTCTTTCCTCACCTCACATTATGATCATTCCGTGACATTGTGTTGGTTTCTAGTTTAGTAAGGACTGAAAAGATGAGGTTAGGATTTAGACTCTTCGGTAACCGATCCGATTTTTAGCACGAGGATAATGCAAAGTAGTTGAATATAGTAACTAACATAGAAAATAAAGACTAACGATAACACAACCAATAACTCCTGGGAAGAAGATAAGATTTCGAAGCATAGAGATAAGGATTGTTAACATCTTTGTTTCACGCCACTAGTTAAAACAAAATGACAAAAATGATATCAACATTTTTACAAGCAAACAAATAAGTGACCACAATACAAAATTAATTAAGAAAAATCATAATTCAGATTTATAACCACAGAATGACACTAATCTAAAGACAAGTAAGAAAACAGCAGAGTATAATTTTTGTCTTAATGAATTTATACTGACAAGAGAGGAAGATGCAGAAACATTATGCACTATTTAGTGGACCATATTCTCATTTGTCGGGAAATTAAAATCCTCGCACATACTGCATCAATGACTTACAGTAGCAAGACACATGATCCCTACTCTGATCCTTAGTTGCATATCCAGTGAAAATCACGAAAAAACACGTCTGCGAGGATTTTTTTCTTCTGTAAAATGGAGGATTCTTTTCAATGTTTTAATCATATCATAAGATTAGCTTTTCTTGGCTTCACCACTAATCTTAATTATTATTCTTAGGTATTATTTTCTATATTGATATACAGACTACGGCTGTACGTAACAAAACAACAACTACTTTGTAATAAATTTTGGAGGGTAATGAAAAGAAATTAAATTCCCAATCTTATGTTGTTTGTTCCTTCATGTATATGAAACTCATCCCCAATTCTTATATGTACAGAAACCAATTAATGAAGTTGTATCTTATTCTCTCTACAAAACTTTTGTCCTGGGAGCACACAAAGAACCATAAGCTTAAGATCAGTTAGCACAAAACAGGGTTTAGTTACTAATCAATACATCAGTGCTTTGATAAATTAATTAAGAGGAAAAAGATTACCACATTGGAAGAAGACGAGCAATCCATGCAAAAATTCTCTCTAATACTCCATTTTTTCTACTTATATTACCGTAACGCAACAGGTAAAAGGACAAAAAGGAAAAAAAAGCATGGGTGCATCAAATGAAAAATTCCCCCGTATTATGGACAATGGAGGTTTGGCGTCGTAATGCTCGAGCTTCTCACAGGGAAAAGACCAATGGAGGTTTTCAGACCAAAGATGTCGAGAGAAATAGTGGCATGGGTTCATCAAATGAAGAGGGAAGAGAAAACCGAGGAGGTGTTTGATCCATTGCTGAGAGAGAGTGGTCATGAAAGAGAGATGTGCTTGAGTGCTTCGTGTGCTTGACATAGCCTGCATGTGTGTGAACCAAAACCCAATGAAGAGACCAGTCATACTCATACAACAAAAAACGCTGCCGGTTTGGTGAAAAAGTGTTTTTATTGGTCGAAGGTTTGGACTTTTAACGTTCTAAATTATGTAAAGAAGATCTAGACAACAAAATATATATTTTTTAAAAAACTAAATATTTGTAGCAAAAAGTTATTCATTAATAAGGAGCTAATTAGGTAAGTTAAGTTTTTTTAATAACATCATATACTTTATTAATCATTAAGAAGAGTATACATAGTTAAGGTAAGTTAAGTTAATTGCTTATATTTGCTTGTAAACTAGTTTCAGACCTAGATTAGAGGCATGGACTAGTTAAAGTTATTAAAGCATCTTTAATGGTAATAATCTTTAATAAAAATGTCTAAGCATTGTCGGTACTTCTTGTTGTATAATGCAGATCTCTTATAAACACTTTCTATGTTAATACGCATAATTCTATCTTTTTTAGATTCAAAATTTAGATATCTTGATGTAGAATAATTAATGAACCCTTAGTTAAACCACTGAATCAGTTGAACTTCCACGAATGGTAGGTCAGTTAGTGATTAGTGCATCCTTTTTCACCAAATTTAAAATTTATCTAAAAATAAAATTATAGTAAATTATTAATATTTGCATGATGTTTTTACACACTCTACCTGATCATTCACATCAACTTGATAGTTCTTTGCTTTTTGAACTGAATTCTTGCTTTCTTTCCTCCACTATACTTGCTTTCATCGACGGATATTGGATCTTTGGTAATAGGTCATTCGAACATAGAACTAGGTTACTGGATATTGTTTTTCGTGTAAAGGTATGTCTCATAGTTACAGCGAAACACACAACTTTATTGGATTTTATTATGAAAGTAAAGACGCGTTCACATACATGCGTGCGGGTATATGGCAACCCATTAATCCATTATTAGAAAAAGGAAGCAAAATAAAGATGAGAATCTTAGACATACCTAAACATCAATGGGGAGGAAGCAGAGACAGAGACAGAGAGGAACAGAGGTTTTGCCTAAAGAAAAAAAAGTTTTTTTATTTGAACTTTGAGGTTGTAAGGAGCTAAAACGATGTCGTTTAAGAGCATCTCCAAAAAGACTCTCTATTTTAAAGTTTCCAAAACTCTATATTTGAAGTTTCAAGGTGTTCTTCTCCAAAAGAAAAACTTCAAATTTAACTTCAAAATTATTTCTATTTTACATTTTGATCCTTATATTTGTCATAGTTAATATAAATTCATAAAACATTGATAAATAACATACACATATATATAAATTATACAACAATATTAATTAATAAAATTTTACACTAAATTATAAAATTATAAATACAAATACATGATTATTACAAATAGATTACCACATTTTTGTTGTCTAATTGTAATTTTAAAATATTTTAAAATACTAAACTACAAGCAACTATTTTAAATTTTATTATAAATATTTATTTAGTTTTATGTCTAAAACTTAAATTTATTAAAGGTAAAGTTTAATTTGAAATATTTATAAGATTTAAAAAGTTTTATGGATTAAAACAATAAACAAAAAAATATTTATGAATTCTAATTTGTAATTGTAATTGTAAGGACCAAAATGTAATTAAAAAGATGAAACTTCAAATTTAGAGTTTTGAGTATTGAAACTTCAAATATAGAGTTTCACTCTTAAAAACTTCAAATTTGAAGTTTTGAGGTTTCTTTTTGGAGAGCAAAAAACTCTATATTTGAAGTTATAGAGTTTCTTTTGGAGATGCTCTAAGTGCGTTGAACTTCTCCTTTGATATTTTTTTCATCAAACTTCTCTTTTGATATATGAAATAAAATTATCTTTGAAGCCATAAAGTTCCCTTATTTCTTTTCAAAGCTACTTTTGTAATTTTGAGGACTGCTGCCCACAAGACCAACACGTTACATTTGCGGAATCTCTTATTGGTTACATACTTGCATATATTTATGTTATTACAAGGAGGGAGAAACAATAAACTTGAAGAACATCATGATACATAGTGAGCTATAGAACAAAAAGATCTAATTAACCTGGTTTAGATTAAGTATAACAAGAAGCCTGATTCTTGATCTTAATAAAATATGGTCATTTAAAAAAAATAAAAAAAAATAAAAAAAATAAAAATAAAAATAAAATATGGTCATCAGCCGAAGAAAGTGTCAACCATGTCGGCGAAACATTGATTGAAATAAAATCTCCAACAAAACATCTTTTCCCGTTAGCAAAAAAAAAAAAAAAAAAACTTTTCAAGGTCACTTGTGAAAGCAAGTAAGCAAGCACGGTAGCCAAAACCCTAATCCATGTTGAGGGGAAAAGGCCCACAAGGCCACAAGAGACTCTAGAGGTGTTGGAAGCCAAATATAACTAGAAATATTCTAGCCATATAACTCATATATATTGATATACTTTAGTCATCGCGATCTAGGTAGGAGCGGAGGAGCATGGTGGCACAGCGGCGGAGTATATAGAGACGGGCACGATGCTGTTTCACCAACGATGAGCATTTGGTTGTAAAGCTATTAATCTTTGTTTTGGAATTAGGGCTTTTCTTTGTCGGAAACTCAGCCATGGAACTTCAAATTCAATTGTCTAATATTTGTAGATATGATGAGGATGTAGCTACTATATATATATACGCGTCTACACTTGAATTTGGAATGACCTAGGAAATGGAGCTAGTGAATATAAGGGCTAAAAAGGGTATCGTGGAGACCAAGAAACGGCTGATTTTTCTTGGATATGAAGGAACCGTCAAGGGGACTGAATATGGTCTCGACAAAATCCATGGATTAGCCCGAGACGGAATATCTCCCCGTACGAGGACGGGATTTACTTGTAAATTGTAAAATATATAAAATGAAGGTCAATGTATATATATATATATATATATATGTAAAAATATCATAATATTTAATCAAGTAATTCATTGTAAATATCACAGACGTGTATATGAATATCAAGATATAGCCATTATCAGCAAAAAATAATAATTAACGTTTGTCTGTCCAATATGTACAACTTCAGACTTTGTGTTACTTATTCCGATTCCAACTGTTGAATTTTGTAGCCTTTTTTTGTTTCTTGAAGATACTTAAAAAATTAGAATGTACATTTAATTAGTTAATATTAACAAATGTCAGATTAAAAGTAGTATTTATTAAACATAATCATATTTTAAATCAATAGTGGTTTTAAATGTTAGATTTTATTTTATAAACACAAATACTAAATGCTTAATATGTAAAACATCTTTGAAAAGTATCTTCAGAAACAAAGTAAGTATTATAGTTTTGTTTCAATCGAGAAGTCAAGTTGTTGTTCGATGTATGTCAACGAGATGTCGAACAAAGAAGTTTCTATAAAGATTTGTGTACAAAAAGTATCCATCTTTGCACCCTTTTTTTTGCCTCGAAAAGGTACATGTTCCTGACGTCCGGTAAGATTGGCTTAAATCCCCATTGATTCGGCCGCAAGAGATATCATAAAGTCAAAAGCTCAGAAAGCTTAAATTAAAGTTACTTATTTTGGTTTTGAATGGTTGCTTGTGCTTGTAGCTTCTGAATACTTACGCTTCAGAAAATTGATGATTACGCGGGTAATCAATATGCCGGTTTAACAATATGAAACTTTCATGAAAATTATGTGTTAGATAGCTATAGACTCAATGCCTAGAAATCGTATGTCTGAAAGAGTAAGGAGAAATATATAACACATGTTTCATTAGAATTTATAGCTATTGGATATTGTTTTAAGTCAGTTGTTAAAAAAAAAAATATTCCCTTTGTTTCGAATTAATTTTCATTCTAGAGAAAAAAATTCGTTTTAAAATAAGTGTCGTTTTAGAATTTTGAGGCAAAATTTATTAGTTTTATATGATATTTTATTTTTTTATTGGTTGAAAAGTGGTTAGATGTATATGTAATTGTGTTCTTATTTTGAAAATATGTAAAATTAAATATTATCTTAATCTGTGTGAAAAATTTTAGAATGAGAACTAAATTGAGACGCATGCAGTATTGTTTTAAGTAAATGATCTCTCCTAACGCGCCAGAAACACAAATTTTTATGATTTATTATGAAAGTAAAGACGAGTTCACATAACATACGTACGTGCGGGCATTATCTCAACCCATTATTTTTGGCCATGGACGAGTCTCAGGCTTTTTACAATACTACATGATCTTGACACTAGTAGAATGGGAACATCCTTAGACCTAACTTCTCAACACGTGAAGTAGAAGTAGTAGCCTTAGTAGCATCAACCTTCACGAACTTGACGAATAAGGTCTTAGCCTCATCATTGGTGGCAACTAGCTGTGGTGCACCCCCCCAAGCCCCTGGGATGGTTCCAACGGTTCCATATACGTTGATGGTCAACTTGTAAGTGTTTTCTCCTGTAGCTTTTTCCACCTTAAACGCGCTCTCTAGGGCCGTATCTTTACCACCGATGATAATGTTAGGCTCCCTGCCAGCGGATGAGGAAACATCGACGCCCCATACCTTGGAAAAATCCTTGCATACAGGCCAGAAGTCGGACTCGAACTTGATAACTGTACTGAGAGATACGTAAAGTGGGGAATGGATGACGGAAATTGTGTAATATTGGAAGCTAACGGGCAGGCCCGGTTGGAAAGGAAGAAGTGTTTGGGTGATGCCAAGTGGACAAAGCGGAAATATGTTGGCGGGGGCTGGAACAAGACCACCGCCGTTGCTCTTAACCGGTTGGATGAAGTATTTTTCACCGATCAAAACTGGATTTCCCTTGGAGTCCTTCACCTCTTCTGCTCGCGGTCTTTGGCCGTGGGTGCAGACAGCTGCAGCCAACAGGAGTATAACGAGAAAAGAAGTCTTCATTTTGATTGTTTTTTTCTGTGTGTTTGGGGTTTTGAGAGTGAGTTGAGTTGAAGAGAGCAAACGCTTTGTACCGGTATTTATAGAAAGTTTCTGCGGTTAAATTTCAAAACTGCGTGGTGCAATGTGGCAGTAAAAATCCTCTCTGGTAAATAAAAGCTACAAAAGGTATCTGTCAAAGCTTATTTTTAATACTTTTTTGGCTCTTTCCTCATCTCACATTATGACCATTCCCGTGATATTGGTTGGTTTCTAGTAGGGTTGAGAATTAAAGATGGTGTTAGGCTTTAGACTCTATGGTTGCTGATTTGTGTTTCAATTTTGAGCACGAGGAAAATGCACAGTGGGGCTTTGTAACTAACATAAAAAACAAAGACGATCGATAACACAACCAATAACTCATGGGAAGAAGATAAGATTTCGACACGGATGAGTGTAAACAACGTACGAATGAATGTCTAACATCTTTTGTTTCTAGCCATAATCGTTTCTCTAGATTTACAAATATAAAAACTAGCTAAAATAAAAATCACGAAATGATTTTCACATTTTTTACAAGCAAACAAATAAGTGGCGACAGAAAATTCAAATCAAGATTTATAACCAGAGAACGACACGAACCAAAGACGTGAGGAAGAGTAAAAACGTTGTCTTCGTGAATTATACTGAAGGAGTTAGGAAGATGCAGAAACATTATTCATTATAGTGGTCCATATCCGTATTTGTCTTGAAATTAAAACCTCATGCTGTACTTAACAATACAACAACTACTTTGTTATCCCGTTGAAGGATATTGAAATTAAGCAGAAGTTCCAATCTTATGATATTATAACTGTTATCATAGTCATCACAATTCTTATATTTAAAGAGCCCATTGAAGTTGTGTCTCGTTATCTCTCTAGAAAGGAACATGTATAAGCCTAAGGTCAGCAAGCACAATGGCCCCAACCCAACGACTGCCTTCATGAAAAAAAAACGAGTATCGCTCAGAAACTCTGTTGTCGTGCGTGCTCAAAATAATTAGGATTAATTTGCCTCCAACGACTGCCTTGCGAGACACGTCGAGATTAGGGCATTAATCGGAATTTTAGGGTTTACTTTAAATCCTAAAATAAACTGTGTTGATAATAATTAAGTGATGCTACCCGACTAATAAAGAAGAAAAAGATTACCACAAAATTGTTTGGAAGAAGACGAGCAATGCCCATTATCTTTTCAAAACTCCTGGATAGTTCCTCTAATACTCCAATTTTTCCTACTTAGTGACACAACAAGTAAAACACACACACAAAAAGTTTGGGAAGAGTCGGTTTTCCAAATTAAAATTAATTTAATATGATCTAAGTTTTACTATAAGAATTGTATATTTTTGGACACATAACTTATTCAAAAAAAAAACTAAAGGAAAAAAATGTAACACAATTATCATTCCAAAATGATGGAAAGGTCCTCTGATACTACAAGTTTTTCTACTTAGACTGTAACACAATAAGTAAAACACACACACACACACACAAAAAGTTTTGGAAGAGTCGCTTTTCCAAAATAAATTGATTTAACAACGCTAAGGGACCACCGATAATGTTGTTCTTAATCCAAGTGAGATGGTTTGAAAAGGGTTTAGTACTAAAATAAGATTCAGTTCGAGATGATCGGATAGGATAAGGAGCAGTTATCCTGAGTAGGCATGTTGAGATCACACATAAAAATTTTGAACTGACATTAATTATAAAGGATGCGGACTAAGAGCATCCCCATCAACGAATTTATGGGGGAGGGGGGGGGTTCACATAGATTCCCCACAAAAAAAATTATTATTTTTTTCATTTGATTTAAAAAAAATTAACTGAACCAATCGTGCACCATCACGTGGCGTGGGACCTACGAAACAATGATGAAACGGGTTTACTGCCCAGACTTCTCAGGAGACAAGTTCATCACTGTACATTACTTTAATATTTTGGGAATTTGTGTGAAGCCCCCATAAATTCATCTATGGAGATGCTCTAAATCATCTCCAATGAGAAGTTTTTACAGTGGAGTTCTTAGTGGAATATAAGAATTCATTTCTTAACTTTTAAATAAAAAGACTAAGAATCGGTTCTTATATAAGACAAGAATCAATTCTTAGTATTTTTAGTTAAAAATTACGAGACAGATTCTTATATTCCGTTAAGAACCCCACTGTAAAAACTCGCATTGGGTGATGTTACTTAATTGAACAAAGACCCTCTAATACTGCAACTTTGTTTGTCTTGAACCAGCACGTTCCACAAGTAATTAACAGAAAATTGGATGTGAATTTTCTGGTTTAATTTTATTTTTTTGTTGTAAATTTATTTCCAAATCAATTAATAAAAATTGTAGAAAAATTGCTTTGGAAAGCGAACAAATTTCTTTTTCTAACTTTTTTGCTATAGTTTTATTTTTTAAGACTAAAGTATGATTGCTTCATAAAAATGCTTTAGAAAAAAAAATAGCTGTCTAGAATACCCTACCAAATCAAGCCTTTAAAAGAAAAAGTTGTCCTTTTTTGAAACTTTAGAATACCCTACCTAATCTGGCTTTTCGAATTATTTTCGAATTGGTTACAGGTAACGATAAAAAAATCTTAGTTGTTGTCGTGTTCAAGATGATTAATTAAGAAGGATTCAACTTTCTCCAACGACTTCCTTGGAAGATACGTCGAGATTAGGGCACCAATGAATTTATGGTTTACTTTGATTTCCGATGTATAAATTATTTATTTTTCTTCGTCGAACATGGTTTAATGTAAAAGGCATGTCTAATAAAGCGCGGGAAACACAAATTTATTTGATTTATTACGAAACAACATGCGTGCGGGTATTATCTCAACCCATTATTCATGGCCATGGAGGCATTTTACAATATTACATGAACTTGACACTAGTAGAATGGGAACATCCTTAGACCTAACTTCTCAACACGTGTAGTAGCCTTAGTAGCATCATCATTAACCTTCACGAACCTGACGAATAAGGTCTTAGCCACATCATTGGTGACAATTAGCTGTGGTGCACCCCCCCAACCCCCTGGGATGGTTCCAACGGTTCCGTATGAGGTGGTCAACTTGTAAATGTTTGTTCCTCTAATAGCTTTTTCTACCTTAAAGGCGCTATTTCGGGCCGTATCTACACCACCGATGATAATGGCAGGCTCCTTGGCAGCGGATGAGGAATCATCCACTGCCCATAACTTGGAAAACTCGTTGCATACAGGCCAGATGTTGGACTCGAACTTGATGTTTGTATCGGTAGATACGTCAAGGGAGTCTCTGCCGACATAAAATGCATAAAAGTCGAAGATAACCGGCAGGCCCGGTTGGTTCGGAAGAAGTGTTTGGGTGATGCCAAGTGGACAGAACGGAAATATGTTGGCTGGGGCTGGAACAAGACCACCACCGTTGTTACTATCATCAGTCTTAACCGGCTGGATGAAGTATTTTTCACGGAGCTTAACTGGATTTCCGTTGGAGTCCGTCACCGCTTCAAGGCCGTGGGTGCAGACAACTGCAGCCAACAGGAATGTAACGAGAAAACAAGTCTTCATTTTGATTTGTTTTAATTTGTGTGGGTTTTGGGGTTTGAGTGAGTTGAGTTGTAGAGAGCAACCACATTGCACCGGTATTTATAGGAAGTTTCTGCGGTTAAATTTCAAAACTGCGTGATGCAATGTGGCAGTAAAAATCCTCTGTGGTAAATAAAACCTAAAGGGTATCTATCAACTTATTAAATACTTGTTGGCTCTTTCCTCATCTCACATTATGATCATTCCCGTGATATGGGTTGATTTCGAATTTATGGTAATTGATTTGAATTTTCAATTTTCAGCACGAGGAAAATGCACAGTGGTGCATTGTAACTAACATAGAAAACAAAGACGAACGATAACACAACCAATAGCTCAATGGGATTGGGAAGAAGACAAGATTTCGATAAGGATGAGTGAAAACAACGTACGAATGAATGTCCACATCTTTTGTTTCTAGCCACAATCGTTGTTGGAGCAAATGGGAGTACGAGAATCAAGGAGGTGATAGAGATTGAAGTTAGTCATTATCGTTTTGTTTTGTTGTTTATCTTATCAAGTCTTGCGGCTCAAGTTTGTTAGTCTTTATCTTATTGTTATCCTGAGTTTTTGGAGTTATCTACTAGATTTTGTAAGGCTATATAAAGCCATGAGTTTTCTATGAATAAGAACGCAGAGAGGTTTTCAGCTTTAAGATACAGAGCTTTATACTATACAAAGTGGTATCAGAGCTCCGTTAAGAAAACCTAAGAGATGGGAGATAATAAGATGAAACTGCCACAGTTCGATGGCCATTGGGATCACTGGAGCGAGGTGATGGAGAACTTCTTCCGAGCCAAGGGGTTGTGGAGTGCAATTGAAACCAGTTATGAGGAACCGAAGGATGCAACAGTCTTGACAAACGAGCAGAGAGAGGTGCTAGACAACGCCAAGACCAGTGACCACAAGGTGAAGCACTACCTGTATCAAGCCATTGATAGGGTAACGTTTGAACAGATCTTGGACAGGAAAACATCCAAGATTATCTGGGATTCAATGAAAAAGAAGTTCGGTGGAAACGACCGTGTGAAGAGGTCATTGCTTCAAAAGCTCAGGAGAGATTTTGAGCTGCTTGAGATGAAAGATTCTGAGAAGGTGGAAGAGTATTTCACAAGAGTTCTGGCCATTACAAACCAGATGAGAAGTAATGGAGAGGAGATGCCAGACGTGAAAGTGGTGGAGAAAATACTCAGGACCTTAAGTGAGAAGTTTATGTATGTGGTAGTCTCCATAGAAGAGTCTAAGGAGATCGAAAAAATCACACTAGAGGAACTGCAGAGTTCGTTGGTAGTACACGAACAGAAGTTCAGAAAACCAGAGAAGGAAGATGATAAGTTGTTGAGTGTGACTCAAGGAAGAGGAACAGGAAGCAGAGGAAGAGGCTATAATGGAAGAGGTAGGGGAAGAGGACGCGG